CACACACACAGTCACACACCAACACACACACAGTCACACACCAACACACACACAGTCACACACCAACACACACACAGTCACACACCAACACACACACAGTCACACACCAACACAAACACAGATGCACACTTGTAGACAAGTGCTGCTTCCTATCAGAGTTTCACACGGTGAGTGTGAGAATCAGCTAAAAGTGACAATAAAAGGTTTTCCTTCTTTAAAAACACAAAATAAAAACCTGAAAGTTACTGTTTAATAAAAGTAAAAAATAAAAAGCATCAAAGGAAATTCTAGTTTTCAAAAATCACTCATTACAGCTTTTAGAGTTTAATTTTTATTTCCACCTCTGATGTCCTGAATGCTGAACAAGACATTTGTAAACTTTTTTCCAGGAAATAATTACCAGTAAAATCAAATAAACTCATTATTTAAGTGATTTTTTTCTTGTTTTTAGAGCAGAGCTGGTTTTATTTAACGTTTAAATAAACGTTTAAATTAATTAAAGTGTATTTGTGAACAGCTGCAGAGAGGTGGTTATGAAGCCACCGAAATAAACGCCACCCTCTCCAGGATGGACGTGGGGCTCGAACCTGTGACCTTTCTGTTGCACAACCTCAGAATGGGCTTYGTTCTGGTCCATTTGGGCCCAGAGGGGCCGGGGCATGACTGATGGAGGTCTAGTCGCCTCAGTGTGTGCGTTCATTAGTGAACAGAGGCGGTCTGTTCAGGGGGTTTGGACCCGACTGGCGAGCTCCCATCACTACTAATGAGAACAACAGGCGGAGCCCCTGAAACACTCTGTTCCTGCTCCTCTTCCTCCTGCTCCTCTTCCTCCTGCTCCTCTTCCTCAGTCCAACACTCACATTTCACTGGATGAGCGCTTTAAAAAAATAACTAATTACACCTAAAGGATTTTGGTCACAAACAAACATTTTTTATTCACCACGGTTTTCCAGACACTGAGCTGAAACTGGATGTAATGTTTTTAGACTTGAGCCTGGAAAGATGAGTTTCTGTGACGGGTCCACCTGTGGTCAGGAGGTCCAGGTTAGGAAAGAAAACCAGGTCCTGGATCCAAGCAGCCCAGCGGGTGGCCAGGTGTCTGTCGATATGTTCTACCTCGTCAGATGTTGCTACCGTAGCGCAGTTCGATAGCTAGGTRTAGTGTCGGTGCTACCCATGGAAAACTGCTTCGTCATGTTTACAAAAATATTATCAGATAAAATTATTTGAGTGACGTGTTACTGAAGTGTAAGCTTAGGAGTWATTCTTCACATAGCATTGTAACGTTTTATGTACACAACGAAAAGCTTTCTAAAATCACAAGAATATAGTAAAGTTTTACTTATATATCGCCTTTCACAGAAATAAATTCACAAGGTGCTGTACATTCAGGGAAGGGGGGAGGGGCCAGTTAGGAAACACCCATTCAAGAAGACATAACAAGACAAACATGGGGGAACAGGTGAAACAGGTCATGCAGCAAACACAGCTGCGCTACCTTTAACAACAGAAAAACTAAAAACCACAAGAGAAGATGAGGAATAATAT